ATTCTTGGTTGGCATCCATTTTCTTTCAGAGCTTAATATATGTTGTTCTAGGTGCTTCTAGCTTTCAGAGTCTGGGCTGAAAAATCTGCAGATAACATAATTGTTTTCCCCCTATATGTAATCTGATTTCTTTCTCTATGGCTTTTAACATTTTCTCTTTATTCTGTATGCTAGGCATTTTCAGTATAATGTGCCTTGGTGAGGATCTGTTGTAATTTTGTACATTGGGTGTCCTGTAAGCCTCTTGTATTTGATTTTCCAATTAATTCTTCATGTTTGGAAAATTTTCTGATATTATTTCATTATATAGATTATTCATTCCTTTGGTTTGGAACTCTATTCCTTCCTCTATCCCAATAACTCTTAAATTTTGTTTTTTATGTTAGACCATAATTCTTGAATGTTCTGCTCATGGTTTCTTACCATCTTCACTGTGTGGTCAACATTCTTTTCAAGATTATATATTTTATCTTCATTATCTAAGGTCCTGTCTTCCAAATTATCTAATCTTATGGTGGTGCTTTCTGTTGAGTTTTTAATTTGGTTTATTGTTTCTTTCATTTCAAGGATTTCTGTTTGTTTTTGTTTTTGTTTTTTTAGAAACTCTATCTCCCTATTGAAATAATCTTTTGCTTCCTGTATTTGCTTTCTTATATTATCTAGAACTACATATTTGCTTATGTAGTTCTTTATTGAATTGATCTTTTGCTGCCTGTATTTGCTTTCTTATATTATCCTTTAATTCACAGAACATTTTAATTGTGTACATCCTGAACACCTTGTTTGTAATTTCTTCTGTTGTGCTGGCCATGGATCCTAATAATGTAGTATCTTGGTTTGTTTAGGGCACTTTCTTCTCTTGTTTTTTCATGTTGTTTGTATCTTCCTTTCTAGCACTCTGGATCTGAGGAATTACAGTTTTTACCCTATAGGCTTATAGTGTCCCTGCAAGGTTCCAATACCTTTCCTTTAAGGGGCAGAACAATATTAACAGATCTCAATACAAACTATATACTACCTTAAACCAAATAGCTGCTATTAAACATTTAGGTTTTGTCACAATATACAGAAATGGAGAGTTCAGTTATTATCTACAATATAAATAGTAGGTTTGCAAAAGGATCTACAGTTTCAGATGGTGGACAAAGATCTGGGGATGAGGTGTAGGATGAGATATTGAGGGGGTGGGGTGGGAGGTGAGGATATAGATTTATTAGATCTTAGGAAGCATGAAAGAGGAATATAGAGAGGTTGGTTAGTATCAGGAGAAGAGAGAGAAAGTGATTTGGGGGAGACAAGTAAGAGGGAAGACAATAGAGTATAGAAAACAAACATAAATAGTAAAAAAAAATTAAAAATGTAAAAATAGGAGATAAGAGAATATACAACACAACTGTACCATACTATTCACACATCCCAGTCTTCAGTAGACTAATTCATGAAAAGTACTTGATTTCACAAATGTTGGGAATGTGACAGTGGGAGAAGAGAGAGAAAAGAGAAAAAAAAAATTTTTTTTGTAGGAAAATACAAGGATTGTTTTTGTTGGAGATCAGTATCTTTTCTGCTTCCCTTTTCATCCAATAGGTGGGGTTGTCTGTTGTTTGCTGGTATCTCCACCCTCAGGATGGTGAAGTTTATTAGTATGGGAGGGTTGGTCTTGGGGGTGGAGTTCCTGGAGGCAGGATAAAGCACTTGCCATTCTGATGGGAGATTGCATCCCAACTGTCTTCTTTGGGGCCCACTCTTGTGATGTGGGCATTTTATCTCCTTATATGACCTGTAGACCTCACAATTCCTRGTCTCTAATTTAGTCTCAAACTGTATCTCACTCACCACTTCCCTTTCTACTTCCCAATAGGGAACCTTTCTCACCAGAGGTCTTGTGTGCTGTGCTCTGAGGGCTGTGCACCCTTCCTGCAGAGCTGTTTTGTTTTGGGCAGTTCAGGACCAGGTTTGGGAGCTATAGACTGGATGTGTGGCTGCAAACACTGTGCTGGGTTAGTGCTGCTGGGTAGAGGCAGGAGTTGGGGACTATAGGTACCTTGATATTGCTTCTATGCACCAGCTGGTGTCCCAAGCTGGGAGTTGTCCCAAGCTTGGAGTTGCCCCAACTAAAGATGACAACAAAGATGGAGGCAGCTGCTTTAAGTGATGGGGTGTTGGGTGGGGTGGGGTCGAACGGTGGCATTGAGCAGCATTTTCAGAGACATAGCTCTGTGGTATGCAGTGTTGTGGCTGGTGGCTGTTTCCAGACCCTGTGCCATGTCCCCAGGTACAGGCTACCACATGTATGGGATTATGGCAGTGGTTGCAGTGTCACAAGATGGAGGTGACTGGGGGAGCCTCATGTTGGTAGATTAGGGTCCACACGGGAGTGGCAGCCAGAAGTCTTGCACATGGGCAATGGCTGGGTGTCCAGCGTGGGAGCTGCGGCCAGGATTCCTGCTTGAGTGCTGATGCCTGTGGTCCTACTCAGGCACCTGGAGGTCCTGTGTGGGTGAGTGGCCAGGAGTCCTGCACTGACACTTAGGCCTGAAGACCTGTGCGAGCACAGCAGCCATGATTCCTGCACTTGAGCAGCTGTTGGATGTCCTCTAATAACTCACAGAGAAACAGTATTTCCACTACTTGAATCACAGGTCACAGAGCGACACAGAATGCAGCCCCCCTCGGGCCCGCCATCTTGGAACCTTCTCCCAAATGGTTTTTGAATACTCTGCACAAAGTTCTATAATTTAAGGCAGTAAAATTTTAGGAAATTAAAGTTTTACAAAGTAGACGATTACTTAAAAATAAATATGGTCAAGATAGGTAGATTTCAGGTAGACTTGGCAGCACACAAGTTTTCTTTTTGTTGTTATTAAATCAGGGTCTCAACTATGTTGCCTCAAACTCCTACGCTCCTGCCTCAGCCCTTGTTGGAATAAGTTTTCATACTCAAGTTTCTGGTAAATCATAAATAAACAATAGTGCTATAATATCAACCCACCTTGTATGATTGCTGTCCTTATTGCCACACAATCTCCTAGTTAAATAGCAGAAGAAGTAGAATCCTATTAATAAGTAATAATAACCATATCAAATTATGTAATTAATATTTGTAGGATAATAGGTTTAAATACAGAGGGCTTATTTCCTAGGAAAAAAGGGAATAAGAATGTTTCTAATAGCAATTTAAGAGTTAAGAATCTCAAAATAACCATTGCATATAAAAAGGTATGTTTATGCCAAGAAACATTTTATTTATGTTCAGCACACACTTTTACTGAAAGTTCTAAGAAATTCCTACATTGAAAATGTGTTCATTTGGTAGGAAACTGAAGCTAAATGAAGTAACTTTTCCTGAAAAACTCATGGAGACCATAAATCTAACATCTATGCAAGCACTCTATAGTAAATTATTTCATTATGGTGGGGCATTCCATTATATAATTGACAGGCTGAAATTTGCTACAAAGTTGACAACTATTATAAGGATTTGGATGATTACAAGTGGGTTTTTCCCCCTTTAAAATCCATAGCACAAATAGTTGCACATGTTGGGGTCAATCAGTGAGTGTGCTCTCAAAAAAATAAAAATGAAGAGCTGGGGCTCAGTGGTAGAGCACTTGCCTCACACATATGAGGCACTGAGTTCAATCTACAGCACCACATAAACATAAATTAATAAACAGATATTGTGTCCATCTACTACTAAAAAAAATTTGTTTAATAAAATAAAAATGAAACTTTTAACTTCTCAGTGCTTATTAATGATAAAATGTAAACTTGCTTCTCCTTCAGTCATCCTTTTTTAAGTAAATTTAGTACCTAAGCCTGACCTGGAGGTCATTCTCAATTCTCTTTCTAGACTAACATCACCACCACATCCACATTCAGTTAGTGATAGTCTCTGCAGGTTTGCCCTCTTAAAAATTCTTCCCCCCTTCTCAGCCTACAAAGATTAAAAAATGAATCTTCAAATCAATTCCCAGCCTCCCTTGAAGCCAGGAATAGCCATCTGGCATGATTCTGGCTAGCAATTTAAAGCAAAATTCTTATCCTTTAGAAACATAATTCTGATAAAAAGATTCGGTTAGGTACCAAAGTTTTATTTAACTCAGTGAAGGAGGGAAACAGCAGGAAGAAAAAAATCTAAATGTTTAAATGGTAATATTAAAAACTTGGAAATTGTTGTTTTTATAATGAGTGGAAGAAAAAAAAAAAGGAGTGCTGAGATAAGATCACTAAATTAGGTACAAAAGTGGTTCAAGTCCTGTGGGGGAGGACAAACCAGAATCTTTAAGGTTATCCTTTCTACTGAACAGGAAAAAAAAATTATCCCCACTCATCTATTTCATTGGAGTTAGCCTCTAACTGTAGAGTTGTTTGTTATGTAAATATGTGAGCTGTGAGCATAAACCATAGGAAGTACTGTGTTAGAATTACCTTCCCTGGAGATTTAAATGACTGCTTAGCAGACTTTTTTTTTTTTTTTTTAACACTGGAGTTGGAACCCAGGTGCACTCTACCACTAAGCTACATCCCCAGCCCTTTTTATTTTGACACAGGGTTGTCAAGGGTCTTGCTAAGTTGCTGAGGCTGGCCTCAAACTTGCAATCCTCCTGCCTTAGCTTCCGGAGTCACTGGGATTGCAGGTATGTGCCACTGTGCCTGGCTTAGCAGCTTCTTAAACAGTGCTATTGCATGACATTAATTAATTAATTAATTAATTAATTAATTCCAAGTTTTGAATATTTTCCTCCATAATTGTAATAGTAGACACTGAACTTTACACAGAGTTAAAGCTTCTTCCCTTCTCTGCATTATTCTCTATTATTACTTCAGGAACATTTGTTGGGAATTTGAAGCTCTAGTGTTAATCTAACTTACTTTTCCAGATTTAACATGCTCTGGTCTTAACACAATGATGTTTTCTATTGTCAGTATCAAGAAAAGTATAAGTAGATACAGCAAGTAATGAATCTATTCTAATCAAATCTACTTTTTGTCTGCAGAGGGGCTGAAACCAGGTGAACCTTTTGATTTCCAAACTTCAGACTTTGGTGTAAGCTAATCAAATGAGGATGCAAATTCCAGCACTGTGAAACCAACAGAAACATCAAAGAACTCAAAGAAACAAACATCTCTTGCACTAAGTCTAGACTCTCAAAACCAATCCATGTCCTCTGTAACCACACAATAAAGAGTTTGGAAATCATATTTTATGTTTTGAAGGCCCATATGCAATACTTGGGAGCCTGAAGTCCAAACCAGTTGTGGCAGTTTCAGAGTGCTTATTCCATATTCAAATGCTTTATAAAGAAGGAAGAGACCCACCCACAAAAATGGGGTCCTAATTAGAATAAGGTATATCCTATGTTTGTATAATTTTATCAAAATGGATTCTACTATCATGTATAAGTAAGTAGAACTGATGAAACAAAATTTTAAAAAAAGAAGGAAGAGAATGAGTCTGATCTCTTGAATATTATGCCTAATAAAGGAATAGAAAATACTTTTGCTGAAGTCCTACACAAAGCAGAAGACTTACAGATGGCATGAAGAAGGTAAAAGCTTATCCATATACTTTTTTAGTTTTTCTTAGCAGGTTTTATGTTTCCATTTCTCAATAATATAATTTCTTTCTACAAGAGTTATAGATTTGGGGGCTGGGGTTGTGGCTCAGTGGTAGAGCGCTGACCTAGCATGTGTGAGGTACTGGGTTCGATTCTCAGCACCACATATAAATAAATGAATAAAGTAAAAGTCCATCAACATCTTTAATTTTTTTTAAAAAGGATTATAGATTTTTTCATAATTACAAATAAAATTTGGTTTGAGAACATGATGTGATGTTCCTTTACTTTAACTTTAGATACTGGTTAGGAGTTTTCAAACAAAACTTTTTAGCTCTAAAAATAATTATCATGTTTTATAAAATAAAAATACAGAGAAAAGTTCCAGTGTAGCCTTTGTGTTGCTTCTGACACTTTTACAAATACTTGGACTTTTTCCTCCTTTAGGTTTGGGGTGAATGTGTAGCCAATGATAGTTACTTTTAAAATAGACTCCTGTTAAAAGTGAAGGATGGAAGAGGGGGCTAAGTTTTTTTTTAATTAGAAATTGAGATATTATTACCTTATTATTGAGGCAAACCATTTAAAAATCTTGAGTCTCATTCTTTGCTAGATTTTAATATGTTATACATATTAACATAATGTAGTATTGTTACTGATTAGAATTCCTTAAAGGAGTTTTTATTTTCCCCACTGATATTAACTTAAAGAAAAATTGTAATAAGATTGTACATGTTATTGTATATGGTTATAGAGATAATTTGGCCAACAACTGATAGACATCATTTCTTCCTATATTTTCTTGGGCATCTAGTATTTATGTATGAAAAAAGTTATTTCTTTATGTTTGAGGTGATGACATTTCTTAACTGTACCAGCAGAGAAAACAGTTTGTTCTTCATTATTGTATTTACTGAAGAAATAAAGGCGGGCTGGGGATGTGGCTCAAGTGGTAGCATGCTTGCCTAGCATGCGTGAGGCACGTGGTTCAATTCTCAGCACTACATAAAAATAAAATAAAGATATTGTGTCTACTTAAAACTAAAAAATAAATATTTTTAAAAAGAAAAGAAATAAAGGCAACTTCCTTTACAAATGTATTGTTTTCTTTTTTCCTGGAAGATTAATTTTTATAATTATGGGATAATTGTGGTGTCTTCAAAAAGCATAATAAAATGTAGGCATTAGAATGTAGTTATTTCAAAAAATTTTCTGTTATTTATAGATAAATTAAAATAGAAGCCATGCCCTCTGGAGGAGACAGTAACAGAAGCAGTATGACCAGATACGGTTGGAGTAGTGCATCACTTTCTTTCTGAATTCTTTTCTAACTCCAAGCTTCTATTTACTTACTCACGTAAATAGTGCTGATGGTGAATCAAACTGTGATAATGCTTTCCAGAATAAACGTTAAATTTACTGAAAGAGTCTTAAAAAAAAAAACAAGAGAGGGAGTATTTCAAAAGAGGGAAAATTTAAAAAAAACATTTTAAAATATGTTTAGTAGAAAAAAAACTGGATTACAATTAAGAGACTTGAGCTCTAGTGCTGATTTGTTCCTATCAAGTTGTTGTCTTTCCCATTTTCTCCATGAGCAGAAGCTGATATACAGGAAGCTGATGCCTCACCAAAGACCTTGGCTAAAGAAGGAGATAAGACAAGAAGAAAACCCTGTCTTTTAACATGCCAAGGTAATTTTATCCTTGTAATAAATACAATAAACTAACATTTAATATTCTTAACTATTTTAGTCAGCTTTTCAGTCTCTGTGACAAAAGACCTGGCAAGAACAATTTTAGATGAGAAAACGTTTATTTGCACTCATGGTTTCAGATGCCTCAGTCCATCTCCATTGCTCTGGACCCAAGGTCAGGCAGAACATCATGGTGGCAGGGTGTGGAAGAGGAAAGCAGCCTAGGACATGACAACCAAGTAGCAGAGAGAGCTCTGCTCACCAGTGACTTACCTCCTCCAGCCACCTCCCCACCTGCCTAAAGATATTGCCAGTTAATTTATATCAGTGGATTAATATACCAAGTAGGTTAAAGCTCTCATAACCCAATCAGCTCACCTCCAAATTCTCTTGCATGATCTCACATATGGGCTTTGGGGGACATCTCATATCCAAACTATCACATTAACCCATCAAGGCCCAATCCTGTAAATATTTCAATGATACTGACACAGGTGTATTAAAATACATTGGAAACAATAATCTATAGCTTATGTAATAATTATTGTACTATAATATAATTATATAATTATGTAATATACTATATTTAAGTCCTTTTTTTGGGGGGGGGTACCAGGGATTGAACTCAGGGGCTCGCGGCACTAAGCCACATCCCCAGCCCTATTTTGTATTTTATTTAGAGACAGGGTCTCACTGAGCTGCTAAGCACCTCACCATTGCTGAGGCTGGCTTTGAATTCACAATTCTCCTGTCTCAGCCTTCTGAGCCACTGGATTACAGGTGTGCACCACTGCATCTGGCTATTTTTAAGTTCTTATAAGTGTTCCACATCTGGGACAGTGGGACAAAATGGGTTAATATATGAAGCCCTAAAAGCTCAATTAGAGAAAGAGTCAAAATATTTGACTAGGCAATTCATAAGATCATGCAAATTGCTAATATGTATCCCTTTTCATGTTCAAGAAGAAAGGGAAGAAAGGGTTCTATACAACCCATCCCCAGTCAGTCACTTCTACCTGCTGTATTCAACCTTCTCAATCTCTCCCCTATCCCCTCATCTCTGCCTTATGAATAGTGTCCACTGTAGACATCCAATAATTGTCATCCTCTACAAACCTAAATCCTCAGGTTTATAAGAAACAGTCTAGATCCCATTATCTTCACCATCTTTGCAGTTGCTGTAAAATGGTATTTGCAGCATGGCTTGCAGAATTTCATCTCACCTCCAAGCTGCTCCTCAATTCCACCAAGGAAATGAGAAATATCCATCATAGATGATAGGCAGCTATGTGATATGCAACCTTGCAACCATCTGTCTGAGATCACACGAGGCTATCATAGAAGTTCCACAGAGTATTAATTTCTTATTGAGATAAAATCACTCAGGCATGTGTTAGATCCATATAGCTTCAGAGAGGACAGCAGAATTGTCTGAGTCTTCCAGAAAGCATCATCCAAAACCATGATTTTTATAGCTTTGGCTGTACAATGGAATTAACTGGAAAGATTTCTAAAAAACCAATGCCTGGGTTCCATCCTGAGTTTCTGATTTAGACAGTCTAGGGTACAACCTGGATCATGTGACATTTGAARGCTCCTAAGTGATCTAACATGCAGCCAAGCATGGGAACCACAGATCTGAAAGAGTAGGTAAATTGATCTCAAGAAAAAATTTAAAGCCAAGTCAGAATACTCCAGGAGAAGAAGGGTGAAAAGTGAAAAGTACTCTTGCATGTGTTCAATTGACTTCCTGTTATTCATTCTAAATGAAGGGAAGATCATCACAGACAACTGTAAGATCTTAGATTTGAAAGTTCCTTTATACTTTGCAAAGCATTTGATCTTATTTTAACCTCCCCACAAGCCTGGGAAGCAGACAGCTGAGCTTATCAGACAGATGAACAGTAGCTTCAAAGAGGTGAAGGTTTTGCAAAGATGTTAAGAGGGAGATTCATTTTGTTGGACTCTGATCCAGAATGTTCCACAGTCCAAAAAATTCAAACAATTTTATATGTTCAGTTAAACATTTTTTTTTCACCCTCCAAAGGGCGAAACTTTACTCATGGGTAAAGAACAGAAATATTTTATTTATTTGATTTTTCAGTGCCAGGGATGGAGTTCAAGGGCTTGTGTGCTACCAGAACAGGTGATTTTTAAGTGAACATGGAGTGGCAGAGAAAGGAAAAAAAGAACCAAAGGAAGGAAAGAAAAGAAAGAAAATTTCCTCAGAAAGAAAAATGAACAGCTGCCATTCATTTCTTCTTGCATATATCTACATCTGGCCAAAAGACTGATATGCAGCAGGAGATTAGAAAGGTAAAGGAACTTTCTAGTTTTCTCATCCAAGAGACCATCAGCTGGAACCTTTTATGTGGCCCTTGAAGCAAGAGTATAGGCAGGGTGGAAGCTTCTGTGAGTCACCTCGGTAAGGGATTAAAGTATGCTTTAAGTTCTCTGAAAGAACTAAGATGATTTTACAACAGTAATAAGGAAAACCATTTTAATATTAAGCTATTCGGATTTCCAAAGAGTAATTTTTAGACCTTTGAGATTTCAATTGCTCTCATTCAAAGATTTGGGGGCTGGTTTGGAGGAAGCAATCTAATCTGTTTTTCCCATCCACTTCGTTGTAGCAATAGCACTCCCTTCCAGTTCACATGTTTCCCATGGGGCTGTGATCTAGCACTCCAAGTTCTCAGATAGGCATGTGATCCAGGTTGGGTCATAGCACCCCCACATCCAATAGTGGCAGTCATCCCAAGCAGGAACAATTAATGTGTGTGTTGTTTATAGATCAATAATCTTAGAATCTGCAAAGATAATTCCCAAATTGGGTGGTTTGTAATTCCTGTTTCATTCCATGTGGTCATTCAGGGACTCAGATTCCTTTGATCTTGTGACTGTCCTCTCTTCCGGGGCCTTGGAGTCCTATTCATTCATCCAGAGAATGGGGAAAGAAGATAATCACATTGGGGTCATGAAACATGTGGAGCCTTTCACATCTAACCACCTTCCATCAGCCAGATTCTGTCCCATGGCCCTCCCAAGGCAAGGGGGAGTGGGAATGCCATCTATTATGAGCCCAGGAGAATAAAGAAGCAGGTTTGGTGAAGAACAGCTGACCAGG